TAAACATTGGAAGGGGCTGACTCTTTCTATAGCGGCTAAGGAGATCTTGATTAAGCGGTGGCCCAATCTCAAGCTACATATATGATGTCAGTGTTTCTGATTCCGAGTGGAGTGTTGAATGAGATTAGGAAGGCCATCTCAAGCTTTTGGTGGGGACAGCAGAAGGAGGAACGCAGAATCCCATGGAAGGCATGGAAGGAGGTATGTAAACCGAAAGAGGAAGGGGGCATGGGTTTCCGAGACTTAAACACTTTCAATTTAGCGCTACTGGGGAAACAAATCTAGAATCTCCATATCAATCCAGACTCTCTAGTAGCGCGAGTCTTGAAAGCGAAGTACTACCCTAATTCTGATGTTCTATAGGCAAAGGTAGGGTATAATCCAAGTTATACATGGCGTAGTATCATGGCAGCACAAGAGCTAGTTAAAAGTGGATTGAGGTGGAGTATAGGCAGTGGAGCTGGGGTGAGAATTTGCGGGGAGAAGTGGATACCAGAGGCGGAAGAGGATGGGTTCAGGGTGACAACGCCCGAGGTGGAGACTGATGAGCTTAGGGTAGTAGCTGATCTTATTGACCATGAGGATCGAACATGGAATCAGAGTCTACTACAACAATTTTTCAACCCTATTGATAGGGCGCGCATCTCTGGAATTCCAATTCCTAGACAGACAATGGAGGATGAACGAGTGTGGAACTGTGAAAGAACAGGCAATTACTCAGTAAAGACAACCTATAGACTGGCTAAGATGCAGAGTAGAAGTCCTTCGTCAAATATGTATGAAGATGTTGGTGGAGGTGAGGAAGAGGAGGGGCAAGTAGTGGAAATCTACAACCCCATGAATTGGAAAAGACTCTGGCGGCTTAAAATACCGGCAAAAGTAAAATATTTACATGGCGGCTGGTCCATGATATTCTCCCAACAGGGAAAAACATCGAGAAGAGGAAGGAGGAAGCGGCAGTCGAATGCCCATTCTGCCACCTGGAAGAAACGCAGAATCATATATTTCGTGAATGCCAGTGGGCGATTAGGGTTTGGAGGCAATCGGATTTCAGACACCTTTTCGAATTGGAGCCAGGGTTGTCGTCGTGTGGCTGGATGTGTGAAGTTATGGAGCGGGTAGACGACGAAATGCTGGAGCAATTCGTGGTGGTTCTATGGATGATGTGGAATGAGAGAAACAACCAATTGTTCAATCGGAAGAAGGCAGAAGAGTGGGAGGTTGTTGGGAGGGCTCTAAGCTACTGGGAGGAGTATACATCATACCATAAGAGGGAGGAGCAGATCAAAGAGGCAGAAGTGATTACCTGGAAGCGGCGGCCACCTGGGTGGGTGAAGGAGAACGTGGACGCGGCGGTGATTGAAGGACAGGGCACGAGATTGGTGATGGTTCTGAGAGATGAGAACGGAAGCTTCATTCGGGCAGCGGTGCGGCGAGAACGACGATGCTGGCCATCGGAAATCGCGGAAATGAAAGTGGTGGAATTCGGCCTGAAGCAGCTGGAAATGAGCGATTTTTCGCCGGGCGGTGGTGGAGACGGATTGCCAGCAGGTGGAGGTGGCGTTGCAGAAGGCGGAATACTCGAGGCTGGAGATGGGTCAGGTGATCAGAGAGCTGCAGGCCGAGGCCCAAAGAGTTGGGGAGATTCACTGGAGCTTTGTTAAACGGGCTGGGAATAATCTGGCCCATGTTATGGCCCAATCTCTATGTAATTGGGAGACCCAAGAGGTCTGGGACTCTAGACCACCTATTTTCCTCCTAGACGGTTTGTCTAAGGAGATGGCAAGCTATTAATAAAATTCCAGAAGTTGATTATAAAAAAAAAAAAAAATTGGACAAGAGAAGCGTACTTCCACTAAGAAGCCAACAAAGTAGATCACCTAAAGAGAGATAAAATTATGTATGACTACTTAAATATCAAGAATCATGAACTGGGTCAAGAAAGTATTACTCACAGCAGTAATAAACATAAATCATTACCAAATAATTAATACTTAAATGTCGCTCATAAAATAAAGCAACTATGTACGCTACGGGCTAAGATCTGGTGACTAAGGAGGAGGTCCCTTAGTCACATGACTAAGCCAACCTCAGCCATTGAGTCTGATTAAAATCTAATGGATCAGATTTATCTATTTTAATGAAAAATAAAGTAGTAATTACATAATTTATGTATTTAATAATTAAAATGATAAAAAAAGTTGGTCCACTGGCAGAACCGCCGTTCCTCTCCTCCCTGCGGCCGCTTATTTTTCCCCGGCGGCATAGGGATATTTGGGCCGCCATTTTTTTTGCCCGCCGACCAGTCGCTTCTAGGGAAAATCTCACAGGCATAATGGAGGATGGAGAATCACTTTTGTTGGGGAACTCAGAGAGAGAGAGAGAGTTCTGGGAATATAATTCCCACCGGCGGAGGCAATTTTGTCCCATTCCCTAGCTGAGAGAGAGATTTTTCTAATCGGATGAAATTTTTTCGACGACCAGCAACGGTGGAGAAGGATTTTTCGGCGGTACTGCTAGATTTGTGATGTTTGTTGATCTATTTTGTAATGTTTGTATCAATTCGGTTTGTATTGCTTATCATTCTTGTTTGTCATTTTTAGTGACATTTTGTACGGTTAGTATGCTTTGTACTATTTGTCGATTTATTTTGTAATGTTTTTAAACTTTGTTATTTTGTTTTGTTTGTGGGTTTCTTTTGTAATGTTTGTAAGCTTTGTTATTTTTTTGCACCATGTTTATGTTTGTGGGTTTGTTTTGTAATGTTTGTAAGCTTTGTTATTTTTTTGCACCATGTTTATCATTTTTGTCAACCATGTTTGTAATGTTTTTTATGTCTAAAAAACAACCTGGTTGACTTTTGGATGGAACTCCTCTATATAGGGATAAAGCCTCCAAAGTCAACCCGGGTGTTTTTCAAGTTTGTATGAATTTTTGGTCTAGTTTGTCATTTTTGTCCACCATGTTTGTAATGTTTGTATGTCTAAAAAACACCCGGGTTGACTTTGGGACGAAGCCCCTCTATATCGGGATGGAGCCTCCAAAGTCAACCTGGTTTTTTTCCTTTTTGTATGGTTTGTATTGTTTGTCGGTCTAGTTTGTATTGTTTGTACAGTTCATATGTTTGTAATGTTTGTAAATCTGTTTGTATGTTTTTCGCTCTAGTTTGTACTGTTCGTATGTTTGTATGGTTTGTACTGATTGTAAGTCCGGTTTGTATACTTCGTAATCTTCCATAATACCCAAACTACCCCTGTCATTAATTAAATAGCTCTTCCCATTTTTTAACCATCAGATTGCTAAGTCCAGATCTATGGGCTGGGAGGGGCTTAGTCAAGTGACTAAACACCCCCTAGTCACCGGATCCTCTCGTATGCTACTTATCAAATTAAGTCCAAACGTCCTTTATACTTTGAGGTGTCAATCGGGCGGGTTCGGGTTGGGTTCAATCGAGTTCGGGTTCAATCGGGTTGTGGGTTAGTCGGGGTTCGGGTTCATCGGGTTCGGGTTCAAACGGGTTGCGGGTTAGTCGGGTTGCGAGTTCATTGGGTTCGGGTTTAATCAGGTTGCGGGCAAATTGGGTTGCGGGTTCATTGTGTTTTGGATCGAGCGGGTTGCGGGCGGATCGGGTTTCGGGTTGTTCGGGCCAGCACATCGAGTAACTTACTCATTACTCGTTACCAACTTACGCATTTTATTACACTAATTTAAAAAAAATTTCTCGACTTTTTAACCAATTTATTTCTACCTCGTATATATATACTTAATTTTTTGAAAAAAACTAGTCAAAATGTTAAATCAATTTGTGTGACTTGCAAACTTGTTATGTAATTAATCATAATTGGTAAAGTACACTAGCTAATAGTAATGTTGATACAATATTTGCAACCAAAAGACACCATTAATTGTTTATTTGATATTTTAGTATTATTTCAATAGTAATTGGATTAAAGTATCTCGTTTAGTATAACCATGCAAATCTGGTATTTGGAGTGTGGTATTTGGCAAAAACAGAGTGATAAAAGGAGTTATTTCGAAATAACTCATTGGCCAAATAACTTCCGTAAACTGTTGCCAAACAAGTTATTTGTAAAATTATTCGAATTATCCTAAAAATTGAACCATTAAAGATTATCTATCAAATTTAGTAAAATTATTGTGACTTCAATCATAACTTACTTAATTATATATATCCTATACACTTAGCCTTACCCTCAATCGACAATATTAAGTTAGTATATGTTGTTGATTGTATACCCTAAACCATCAATACATTATACACTAACCACATACCCTATACCCTAACCATATGTCCTTATGAGTTGTTATTTTGCTAGTATATAGTTAATTTAAAAGTGAAATTCATACTTTGATTTTCAAAACATAGATAAAAAGTGATATTTGCTAATTGCTATACCCTGACCATCTATCCTATACTGTACACCACATATCTTGTATCCGAACCACGTACCATAAACATAAATTAAAAGGGATCTCCTGCCGTTACAGACTTCAAATGACTTCAAGTGAACATATGTTAATAAAAATCCGGTGTACCGTCTATGGTGTCTTCTACGATACCCCGGGTAAAATCCGGGGTATGCCATACCCAGGGTGATCTTTCACCGTACGTGTGATCTCAACGGCTCTTGATTTTTCCTAGTTAAATCACTTATTAATTATAACAATATTTACCAAAAACTTCTTACAAGATATAAATGTTTACAATTTAGTATAGTTAATCGGTTTGGGTGGGTGAAGTGATTTTTTGGATGGATTTTTGGATTTAACTATCCAACCCCAATACCCAAACCCACGTCCCTAGAGAACTGATGGACAAACCCTCCACAAACCATCCCTCTTCTTCTTCTTCGTCGTCCCGACTATCCCATCCACCTTCATATTGATTCCGCCCATATCATCCTCTCCTCCACGATCCTCCCTGAAACCCTAATTCTACCCAACCATCTCAAGAGCTTTGAGTCCAGCGTTGGCCTCGGCTGGAAGGCATTTCCATCCTGAATTCCCTCCGTCGTGGCTCCCGCTCCTCCCACTTCCACTCCCAACAAGAAGTGATCCTCTCCATCCTCTCCTACGACGGCGAAGGAATCCACTACTTCTTCTTCGAGCTGGCTGTCCAATCGGGTTTAATCGACGGGAGTCACGTCAAGAGGTTGGGGGAAATCAGCGCCTGGGCGGAATTCGGAGGATGCAGCGCGAGCCTCTCGTTTAAAGGAAGGGATTTGAACGAATTGAACGGGGACATAGTCGCACTGTCGCCGACGTTCGAGATCGCGCACTGGAGAGGGAATGGGTGCAACAATGAAATTGAAACGAAGATGGTGATGAAGAAGCTTTTGATCGTTCGGGATTCGCCGGTGGGTTTATGGCATTGGCGGCTATTAGGGACGAGAAAAAGAAGATATCGTCGTTGTTGTTTATGTCATGCGCTGGGCTTCTGTCGTCCATAATCAGTACCCAGAAGAACTGGGCTGCCTGCTGAACTTTTGGAATCACAGGTAAAAGAACAAACAACTTTTGTATTCTCATAATATAGCTCAATAGTCAATACTAATAGTTTCTTTGATACTGCACTGATACGATGTTTGTGTAGATCGGTTGGTTGAATGTCGGGACTGATTCTACCCAGAGAAGTTGTTCGCAGTGTACGAAGACTAATTGAGATAGCTACACTTGGAAGTTTAAGTTTGAATGTAGACTGTAGAAAAGTGTTCTTGTAAACATGTGCATAGTAGGCTGAGAATCAGTTGTAGATAATAATTAGTACTAATTATTCATTTGGTGGTTTCCATCTATACTCAACTATATGTTACCTTAAGCGTGGTTAAACGTGTTAGAATCTCGAATGGAAAGCTCCATCCTATGATGAATTAACTCTTTTTGTACCGCAACCTTGAGCATGCCCTGGTTGTTATATATAGGGAGAGTCTTTAGACATCTAAAAGCACTCATAAGGTTCATTAGCAGAAAGAGTATAGTACTGCAAGTTAGAGAGAAAGAAGGTGATTATGGTGGGTGGTGGAGACAAGTACAGATCTTTCTTGGCCGACGAGGAAGGCCACGAGACTCAATGGAGACACGACGACCCTCCTCAATACGACCTCGTCAACAAGCTCTATCAATAAGAGCGAACTAAGGTGATGTTGACACTCAAAGCTTGAGACAAACGAATCCGGTGTGGACTTTGAGCTTAACATTTAACCATTTTGATTTTAATAGATCTTTGATCTACAACATCACATGGGACTTCTACTGTTGGAGACAAAGGAATTTGAGGAAGAATATGCACAAATGACAAATGCTGTTGTGGCTTCTGCAATCCTGCAAAAACGTGACCAAGCAGCTCATGCATCTGCCTTGGCAGAGGAAAATAAGAGAGAAGAAAGTCTGAGGAAGGCTTTAAGAGTTGAGAAAGACTGTAATGTCACGGACCAGAAAATTCCATCAAAACAAATAAAATGAAATGGGAAACAAACTCCACTTCAATTTAGTGGCAGCACACGCAGAGCACTGAACTGAATAGACATGTGGGTTGTATAAATCTAACATTCACCTCACAAAAAAATAAAAGATCTGTAGAATGGTCATAAATGCAATGTATCACTATCACATATAAATCCGCAACAAGTGAAAATGTAATTTCAAAAATTGTCAATCTGCCAAATTTAAGAAAATTATGAAATATTCAATGCAATGAACTCTCCAAACAATACCATAAACAAGTTCAAAATTTAGGATAAAACGAAGTGTTCCCGGACCTCATGCATACATCAGTAAGTAACTTAGTGCAACATGGCAAATTTAATTGAGAAGAATCAGAAAAGAAAAGAAAAACGGGCCAATTAATGTGTATTTGAGCTCTATACACGTGGAAAAACGAATGATGAAAATCTAGAGCACACTAGGTATCTCATAATCCCTTGTTTGCCTTCTTATTGCTTGCTTCTTCGTATTCAAGTGTCTGAGCTTTAAACCTCGACGCATTTGCAATTGCTTTCTTGAGGACTTTGTGCCTTATGTAATTTGTGGGCTCTTTGACAAGGTACAGAGCCACCTGCATTCTCCTCCTATCACCACAAGGCTGTATGAACAACAGATATAATATATTAGTAAACTTTTTTTGGGTAATGATGACCATGATTATAATGCCACATACAAAAGAAAATCACAAGAATCAAAACAGCCAGATGATGGCATAGATACAACATAACTACAGACAGCTTATAGAAGTGAGGGAACAAGCTTGTCCCGATTAGGTTGCGTCAAAATCCTGTCATTTTGCATTCATACCATGGGAAATAACAATCGTCCTTCAATATTCGAAAGCCAGAACGCAGCAGTAAACCTGTCAACCTTTCTCCCACTCACCAACCAGCTAGACACCCTCAAATATTCTTGAGTTCAATGTATTAGTAAACTTTGTTCTACATAGACATTTTTATAATGTACCATACAAAGAGGTCGTCTAGGCGGAATGTGATTTCTTACCCAAATGCCATAGTGAGAATCCCAGGATGCACCCATCATCCAGACGCACACCCAAATCCCACCATCATTCCTATGTAAGAAGATACATTATGTAAGTAAGCTAAAAGTTATTTTTATATTCAAATTATGCTAAAAACACACATTCATACTTGTGATGTTGTTCTGCAAGTGAAGGAGTTGACCAAGAAAACTCCTTAATCTTTGGTGTTGCATATATGGTTTCCACTTCCTTATGCAAAGCCTTGAACAATTCGTCCATAAATTCAATCTGCAAAACGTTACAAACAAGTTTATTGAAATACGTAATTTATTTGGCAAATATGATATTTGGTTTTAGGCGAAAAGTCTAAAGATACCATTGTTTCCACCGCACTCATACAGATTGTTTTCCGCTCCTATGATGAAAACGAATCCAGGATTTGGACTTGTTTCTTGTCCACTAAAAGAATAGCTAAAAACCAGTGAATTCCTCCATCATCCATAGTATCTTGCATGGGTAGACACACCTACACATATACGAGAAAATCACACAATCAGCTTACTAATTTGAGGACACGATAATATGGGTGGCGTGGGAAGTCATAACCTTTCTGCAGTTTAGAGCTTTTGAAAAGAATTTTGTACGGAATGCCTCTAATGCAATAGTAGGTGTCATGCCACAATTCATGACCAGATCCTGTTTGTAAAAAAAAATTAAAGAATCCAACATTGAGCTTGCTTAATAAAGTAACCAAGTATGCTTAACTAGAATAGAATTACAAGGTAAAATCGATATATACCTGGAATTCTGTAGGCAGAAAGCACCCCCGTTTTCCACGACCATCATCCCTCCAAAGTTCGTAAAGGGTCAAGTGACAAGCTAATGCGCCACAGAACATAAACACAAAATATATAAACACTATAGTTCAAAAAGTGAAACAAATTACCAATTAGTAGTATAATAGGAGAACTTACATCAGCATGGACACATGAGTAAGGGCATAAGCTCCACAATGTCTTCCGGCTATAAACTTCGGTCATAGTTTGGGCCAAGGGTTCGTCAGGTGGAAAATCTTCAGCAAAGATATAGTGAGCAAGCTTCACTTCTTCCTCACTGTAGCTTACGGTTTGAGGGAGCTTAAACCTCGTGGTACCCTACAATGATGGGCAACGAACAAACACAATTAATAATTAATCATGTTCTTTTCTTCATCGACAACTTCAATGGGATACAAGTTTTGGCAGGCTACTCTAAGTGGTCTGGTTTACTGGGATGTTGATTTGAACCCATAAACTCTAAGACAAACACAAAGTGAATCACAAATCTAAGTGGTCTAGTAACAAATTAATGAAAGACCAAATTAATGAAAGAACACTGTAAAATGCTCGGCTTGTACTTTGGATTACCATACCTTCGCCGACAATTGTTGTGCTGGAAAATTGGTGTTTTTTTCCACACCTTTCTCATAACGGTCGACTCCAGATTCATCGTCAAGAACAATCACATTCGATCCCGGCGTCCGTGGGGGGGTCACATCATCTCCCGTTTTAGTTCTCTTCGCCGGCGATACATAGTTCTCCAAATCCTTTGATGCAGAACGCATTAGCCGTGTAGTCGATTGGCCGCGAGACATTTTGTTGGGCATATTGATCTCCTCCCTAATATAATTGTACAAGAAATCAACATGTGGACGAGGAGAACAAATACACCAAAATCACATAAACAAAGTTAAAAGAAAATTCAAAGAGGATTGAAAAACTACACCCTTCCTTCCCCATGCTGCAAAGGGCTTGTGGTTTAATTAAGTGTGAGGCAGAGGGGTTGTGTTGTCTCTCGAATGCAACTGAGGGTTGTGGTTTAATAGCCGAGACATAGGGGTTTTTAAACTCATCAATTAGGAATAACATAGTAGCAGTGTAGAAGTTAATTGTGCCAAGTGTTTCTTTTTCTTGTGGGATAATTGTGCCAAGTCTTATTCGAACTCAGGGAACTTCTATATTTATCTCCTCATTTAATGAACACAGTTAATTAATCTTCCACCTACTTCCTTCTAAGCTTCTAGCTAACTCACGGTGGTTGTAGAGATTTTAATTTATTATTAAACTGTATATTCACTTTTCTTAATTTAATAGTCCATCTGTGAAAACAAGAAGGCTCTCGATCCAGTCCATGGTGTCATTTTGTTTCTATGGACAGCCCATGGAGTCTCGTGATAGCCTCTTCCTATACAGAAGAACCAATTTGGCTGCGTAAAATTAAGAGACTACCCTAACAGAGATTAGTTGTGAGTTGCGACACTCGTAAGCTGCGATTTCCTGAGTTTCACAAATCGTTTCACGAACATGGAAGACAAGGAAAATAATCCAAACGATGTCAGTGATGCTTCTAATCCTCACACCAGGAGGACATGGCAGCGGAGGGAGCTCATCCAAAAGATGGCATCAATGCTTCTAATCCTAACACCGAGGACATGGCATCAGAGGGAACTCATCCAAACGGGGATACTAGTTCAAATACAGAAGAAGATGATTTTGCCAATCTACTACTTCTACAAACAAAAGATATTATGAAACTCAGATTCAAAGATCTAGACGAAGCATATGATTTCTGGATGGATTACGGGCTGGCCACTGGGTTTGACGTAAGAAAAGAGGAAATTGGTCGAGATAAGGATAATGTCCCGATATGGCGCTGGTTTGTATGTTCTTGTGAGGGAAGGAGGCGTACAAAATAGACAGCACGAAAAAGAGAGCCAAGAGCAAAGACAAGGTTTGACTGCAATGCTAGGATGCGTGTTCGATATGACAAGTCTACTTCGGATTGGTTTGTGGACAATTTTGATAACGTACACTCTCATGCACTGATTCCTAGAGAATACAAGCACTACATGAAAGGGAATCGTCGTATGAGTGATGCAGTTAAAGCGGCAATTAATTTTTGAAGAGGTGCAGGCATGAAAATGCATCAAATCGTTTCACTAGCCGTTGCAGAAGGTGGAGGCTATCAGAAGGTGGGGTTCACGAGGAAGGATGCATATAATTATGTGGACAAAGAACGAAAAGAATAGATTCGTGAAGGTGATGCTGCTACAGCCCTAGCCTACCTACAAGCAAAACTTAGTGCCGACCAACAGTTCGTCATTGAACTAAAGCAAGATGGTGAAGACAGGCTTATTAACTTGTTCTGGGCAGATTCTATTTCGGTGGCTGATTATGCATGTTTTGGAGAATTACTGGCATTTGATGCGACGTACAAAAGGAACATTTACAAGATGCCTTTAGTAATTTTTTCAGGTAATAATCCATTCATTCTTTTCGTAATATATTAGCCTCCTTTGGATTTTAGAAGTGTAATACATAAGGGGTTTAGATGTGTTGCTGGATGTTCAAAACATTAGTTGTGAACCACCATTTGTCTTATTAGTTTGCTTATTTTCAATTGTTTTACTTTTAGGTGTGAACCATCATTCGAACACTTGCATATTTGGATGTGCTTTTCTAGCTAACGAGAAAGAAGAAAATTATGTATGGGTTTTGGATGCTTTGAAGAGAAGGGTGGGGGGCGGTGTAGCTCCTAAGACTGTTATTACAGATGGGGATAAATCTATGCGCAATGCAATTCAACAAATATTCCCTGATGCAAAACATCGTATGTGTTCTTGGCACATAGACAAGACTATTATCAGTAGATTGAAGAAATTTTCTATTTTTGTCACTCAATGGCAGTATTTTGTTTAAGCTGACTTGGAACCATCAGAATTTGAAGCTAAGTGGAAATCATTGGTTGAAGAGTGCTCACTACAGCACAACAATTGGGTTTCCAATCTATTTAACCAAAGAACTGAATGGGCGTATACATACTTGTGCTCTAAGTTCTTTGCAGGTTTGGCAACAACATCTAGATGTGAAGGAATGAACTCCCAGCTGACCAATATCCAAAATGATAACAATCTACTTGATTTTTTTATTAATTTTGATCGTTGGAGTAGAGATATAAGGGAGATTGAGCTACACACTGATTTTGAATCCATTCATCGTGAACGGACCATTACGTCCAATGTCTTAGTATCACTTCAGAAGACTGCCTCTGCGTTATTCACAAAGAAGGCATTTTTTCGTATTTAGAGATGAGGTTGAAAAGTCTGGAAATTGCATAAGGATGGATTCAGAGGTATCGCAAAATGAGTGCACTTACAGGATGACAATGTCTGGCAAAGAGAAGGTTTTTCGGGTCAAATACACAACTGACCCCTTTTCCATGGAGTGTAGTTGTAATTATTACAACTATATGGGGATACCATGTTGTCATATGGTTTTTCTACTAAAAGAAGAGGGGTACTAGAACTTCCAAAAGGCCTGGTACGGTTAAGGTGCTCAAAGAAACCGAAGACACTAGAAAGCTTACCGCAACAAGATAATATCGACGAGGGTCCACTTTTCACTTTCAAGTTTGTGATTATCATAAGAAAGCAACATGTAGATGTTTTAAAAGCAAAGCTAAGCCCAGATGATCTTTGATTTTAATGTTAACGTAGGGCAGTGTATCTTTTTATCAGAAAGGTACCCTAGCTTTTGTAACTTTTTTTAGTACGCGTCAATAAAAAGCTCTAGTTGTCATATATTTTGCATTAACTAAACTATATTGACTTTCAGGTATGGGATTATTCAACAAGCCAACTTACAATTATGCTTAAAAGGAGCAAAATCTAGTGATTGCTTCAAGTTTGCTCGTGAAGGAATTTCATCATTATGTGAATCGCTAGACACTATGCACATTGGTAATACTGAGATACCAGACATTCATAGAACGAATGCAAAAGAGAAGTTGTTGGATCCATTGTCGGTGAAACATAAAGGTTCAGGGGTTCAACAAAACAAGAAGAAGAAGAAGAAGAAAGGAGAGCAAAGACAATGTAGTAGATGTGGGGAATGGGCTCATTATATATCCACTTGTCCACACCCTCCTGGGTATGTAAGGCCGACTACTACAGAGTTAACCCAGCAGACTGATAGGAAGAAGCCAATAACAATGGCAATGAAAACGGAGACGATGGTGATGCCCTAGACATCCAAAACCAGACAGAAACAGTAACTAAGGCGAGACATAAACATTGCAGAAGATGCGGTTCAACGCAACATAATAGAAGAACTTGCCCGGAGTCATCAGAGGAGGATAGTGCTGAAGATGTTGGTACTACTGACATTAATGACCAACAAAGGGTAATATTAAGAGTTCCTTGTGCATCTCTACCTTATATTGTTGCATCCGTATTTTTTTCTTACTAAATTTTGGTGTATTCAATGTTGAAGAAGTCACGTACGAGAAGTGATCAACACAGGAGCAGCAACTTGGCTATTTGAGTTATTCGACTGGATATTATGAGTTATTGGTCTGGTTAGGATGTTATTGGGTACTTTTTAGTGCTTTGTTGGGTACTTTTTGGTACTTTAAGATCATGGATATTCTGGTTTTAGAACGGTATTAAGATCATTCTGCGACCTAAACAAAAAAAAGTTGCTACTAAAGCAACCTTGAGAGACTACTAAGCAGGCCAGTGAAATATATTTTCATTATCAGCTCACCTGGGAACCAGCGGTATGCTTATGGTTGCAATTCAATGCTGCCAAAATTATTTAAGAGCAGGTTGCATGTTACGAGGTCTGCAAAATAAAAGAAACAATATAAGTGGTTGAAAGATACAAACTGACAGTATGCTCGAAGAAAGATAAAGTTAGCAGGTCCAAAACTTGCCTTAAACTCATTTGCTCGTTGTTAGTATTATGAACTCCCCCACTTGTTAGAAATTTTAGCTATGTTACTCGATGCCACACCTTCAGGATTGCAAAACCAAGACCCTTAAGCCTGCTATTACTTCCTGCAACAAACAAGAAATGAGTTCCTATGAATATATCGATCAATATATTCCCTGTGATGCTAACTAAGCAAACCCAATTTATTTGTATATGAATGAAGGAGAGTGCAAATATTTCTTAAATCAAGGTGAAGGATTTCAAGATGCATGAAGTGGTTCACTTGGAGCTCATTCACTTCCACAATACAAATACGACAATCTGCCAGGGAAGACAATGAAGCATCTCAGCTCGAGTTTCACAGGGCTGGGTGCAAGTATGCTCAAAGAAAATGGAGCATTTGATACCGTCCATTGACAAGTCTTCAGCCGAGGAAGACAAATTTTGGGTTCTTTAAGTCTTCACCTCTATCTCCAGAAGATCGCTGCCTGTAAATGTAGGAAGTACACAATAAGACTTGGAATAAAATTCTCAAACTTTGAGCTGATTTCTCTGGGAAATTGTGCAAGACAGATCAAGGGGTGTTGTGGGAGGGTGAGAAGTTATCTCGGTTCCAGATTAGCAAAATTTGGCAAGGCATCAGGCCAAAGGGTGAGAATGTGAACTGGTCTAAGCTAGTGTGGAAGAGTGGCATCCCAAAAAATTCAGTAATCACCTGGCTAGTGTTGTTAAACAGAATAGTTACTCTGTACATGGTGAAACGTTGGAATCCAGAGGTTGCTCTGACCTGCTCTCTCAGTGGCCAAGAGCCTGAGTCCAGGGACCATATTTCTTTCTGTGTAAATATGTGCAAGAAGTCTGGGTTGTTGTGTTCCCAGAGCCATGGTCTTTCCCAATTTCAGAAACTTTGCAGCAGGCAGCCACATCAGCATGCCAGAAGTTCAAAAAATGCTTGGTTGGCAGAATGATTTGGTGTCTGGTGGTGTGATATGATCCCAAATAGGCCACTCTACAAGTTGGAATTACTTGACGAAGAAGCAAGCTCAAGCTGCCTGAAGAACATTCATTTCTGTCAGTGTCATTTTCCGTGTTCAAGTAGCCAATTTTGGAGGCAAGTTTCTCTCAATTGGCTCAATGGAAATTCAAGTTTAATGGCTTGTATTGAACATGGAGTGATTATCTACACCTTGGTATGTTTGGTTGCTCAAGAAGAAGTCATTAAGGTTGTTTTCCAAAGTCTCAAAGTTGCTACCTCAAAACTAGAAAACTGCCAGAATTTGGGTAAGGCAGAAACTGTGTTCAAGAAGCCTACTTTGGAGCTCCATTCCAGAAGCATGGATCAGATTCATGTCCAGAAGCTTATACCACATGAAAGTAGGTATGTTCTAGTACAAAGACATGGCATTGGATGATTAGAAGCTTACCAGGAAGGCTTTGATCGAGAGGCTCAAAGATGGTATCAAAGCTGTTTGGTTACTAGGAGCTAAAGGCAGATTTTCCTTTTCTTGTTTAGTTAGGATTTCATTGTTTTGGTAGTTTTTGATTCCTTTTCGTATTAGACTGTAATTAGGAGTTTATGGGACGTGTGTAACCCTAGCTAGGCCTATTTAAGCTTTCTAATTACGTTGTAAAATTCATACTTTGTTGAATAGAATTCGAAACCTTTGGGTTTTTGCAAGTTTGCGTACTTGTGTGAGCTTTGGTGGATTCCAAGCTCGTTGAGCTCTTGTATCGATCAAGAACGCGTTGATCGTGGTCGGGCATCTACCTTTTATACCAATCGAGCGTTCCCCAGGTGTGGAATCGTCCTTTTGGTTCCGTTTTATCCAAGTTCGTATTAAGAACGCTTCGTTCTTGATTCGAGCTCAATCGATTCTTCGATTGAGTCGTTTGCTGCGTTACTTTGATAACATACACCCCCCAGGGGCGTATTAAGTGGTATCAGAGCTCGGTTCTACACGAGGGCGAAGGAGAAGAAGCAATCAATCGTTTCGGTACAAGCAGAATTTAACTTCAAAACAGGGCAGCCCCTGTTCGTCTCTTGTGGCTGCTGTTTGTACGAGAACTTCGAAGGAAAATTTTGGTTCTACACAGAGATATGATGGAGAGAAGTGTAGAGGCAAAGAAGATGCAAATTCGTGTCCAAGAGGAACAACCAGCAGCTCGAATTCAACATCGAGAATCCGACAAACAACGAGACAATTTGTTTCATAGTCGATGCTTCATCGAGGGGAAAGTGGTGTCGCTTATGATCAATGGAGGCTCCTGTGCAAACATTATAAGCCTATACGTCGTCCAAAAGCTCGGATTGACGACCCAAAGACACCCTGAGCCTTACCAACTCAGCTGGATCAATGAACACGGGACGATTAATGTGACGAAGCAAGCGGTAGTTCGTTTTCAACTCGGCAGCTACAAAGACGAGGTAATTTGTGATGTTGTTCCGATGAATTGTGTTCATCTAATGCTTGGAAGGCCGTGGCATTTCGATCGCGAAGTCTCTCATGATTGTCGAACCAATCGATACAAATTCCAACATCACGGTAAGAAGATAGCGCTGAAACCTCTATCTCCCACCGAAGTTTATGGCGATTTGAAGCAAATAGATGAAAATCAAAACGAGGGAAAGGAGCCTCGGGCTCAATTATGGATTCAAAGAAGTATTGGCTTCAATTTTCTGAGCTTTCGAAAGCTCCAGAGGGAATTTCCCACGCCAGAAACAACAGCCAGCAACGACCTCTGTTTTTCCGATGTGAAACAGAGTTCCATCGTCGGCAGTCCTGCCGACGTCGTAGAAGCAAAGCCGGCGCACGATTCGGCCTTAAACGCGTCCGTGGATGTTGCCGGAGGGATGGGAGAGCAAGGAGAAGGCCTGAAGCTGACCAACGACGCGCGACTCGACTCAGTGACGCGAGCAGCAGCGCTTCCAGTTCTTCCGACGAATGAGCAGAGCATGAGAGAGAATGAATTGGTGGGAGCTAAGGGGGATGATTCGAGACCACCCACCGATGGCGACACGTTTCCTACGACCCCAGGAACGTCAAGTGCAGCTTTAATGGAGGAGAACGAACCCGAAATTGCAGATGTAATTTTGCCAAAAACATCTCTGCTTGGGAAGACCAACGACGACCAAGATACCTTGCGTTGGACCATCCAGCTCAATTCGAGGCGAAGCGATGCTGAAGAAACATCACAAAATAACCCTGGAACGACTTCCCTACCTAGAATCAAGCCACGACAGCTGCAAATCAAAATACCCAGTTCTGCAGAAGCTCTTCTGCAAATGCAGGAACTCGTCTCCAAGAATGGTTATTTCGTCGCAAAGACTGGGCACGAATCCAGTCGAAAGAACGATGTAGAATCGTTATTGGAGGTTTTTGGAAGGTCTAGGAGCAATCAATTCGTCAAGACGATGCTTGAACAAGAAATCCCCAATTTCGAATTGAAGATTCTGGGTAAGGAAATTCTGCAGAACAAGTTTGAGCAGCCCACTTTCGATCCAATTTGGGATCAATTCTGTGAACGGTTTGAGAAAAGAAAGGCCAAAGTGTTGAGGGCAACACTTTTTCAAGAGGGAGGGCCTGATATGATCCCAAATAGGCCACTCTACAAGTTGGAATTACTTGACGAAGAAGCAAGCTCAAGCTGCCTGAAGAACATTCATTTCTGTCAGTGTCATTTTCCGTGTTCAAGTAGCCAATTTTGGAGGCAAGTTTCTCTCAATTGGCTCAATGGAAATTCAAGTTTAATGGCTTGTATTGAACATGGAGTGATTATCTACACCTTGGTATGTTTGGTTGCTCAAGAAGAAGTCATTAAGGTTGTTTTCCAAAGTCTCAAAGTTGCTACCTCAAAACTAGAAAACTGCCAGAATTTGGGTAAGGCAGAAACTGTGTTCAAGAAGCCTACTTTGGAGCTCCATTCCAGAAGCATGGATCAGATTCAAGTCCAGAAGCTTATACCACATGAAAGTAGGTATGTTCTAGTACAAAGACATGGCATTGGATGATTAGAAGCTTACCAGGAAGGCTTTGATCGAGAGGCTCAAAGATGGTATCAAAGCTGTTTGGTTACTAGGAGCTAAAGGCAGATTTTCCTTTTCTTGTTTAGTTAGGATTTCATTGTTTTGGTAGTTTTTGATTCCTTTTCGTATTAGACTGTAATTAGGAGTTTATGGGACGTGTGTAACCCTAGCTAGGCCTATTTAAGCTTTCTAATTACGTTGTAAAATTCATACTTTGTTGAATAGAATTCGAAACCTTTGGGTTTTTGCAAGTTTGCGTACTTGTGTGAGCTTTGGTGGATTCCAAGCTCGTTGAGCTCTTGTATCGATCAAGAACGCGTTGATCGTGGTCGGGCATCTACCTTTTATACCAATCGAGCGTTCCCCAGGTGTGGAATCGTCCTTTTGGTTCCGTTTTATCCAAGTTCGTATTAAGAACGCTTCGTTCTTGATTCGAGCTCAATCGATTCTTCGATTGAGTCGTTTGCTGCGTTACTTTGATAACATACACCCCCCAGGGGCGTATTAAGTGGTATCAGAGCTCGGTTCTACACGAGGGCGAAGGAGAAGAAGCAATCAATCGTTTCGGTACAAGCAGAATTTAACTTCAAAACAGGGCAGCCCCTGTTCGTCTCTTGTGGCTGCTGTTTGTACGAGAACTTCGAAGGAAAATTTTGGTTCTACACAGAGATATGATGGAGAGAAGTGTAGAGGCAAAGAAGATGCAAATTCGTGTCCAAGAGGAACAACCAGCAGCTCGAATTCAACATCGAGAATCCGACAAACAACGAGACAATTTGTTTCATAGTCGATGCTTCATCGAGGGGAAAGTGGTGTCGCTTATGATCAATGGAGGCTCCTGTGCAAACATTATAAGCCTATACGTCGTCCAAAAGCTCGGATTGACGACCCAAAGACACCCTGAGCCTTACCAACTCAGCTGGATCAATGAACA